CAAGAATATTTCTTCTTCTTTCTTTATCCTTCCTTCTTTCTCTCTTTGTTCTAACTGTTTTCATTATTCACCCAAGAGCTCTGTTTCTCAATATTTATTTGTTGAAAGGTATTGTTTGTGATCACAATATTAACATTATATGATATGATTTCTATTAAACTTGAAGGGTTTAGTTGACGTCAAAAACAACTGAATTGTTACTAGTAATTTCTTCGATAGACACAAAAAAAAGAAGCGTCTTAATTTTTTTGAAAACTTTTGAAAGATGATTTATGTTATCAAAGAAATTATTGGTTGATTCGTGTAATAGTCTGATCTCTTTAAGATTTTTCGTGATATCGCTCAAAGTTGTACAACCAGACTATCAACCATAAAATCTCCAAGATAAAACAAACTACTAAAAATATAAATTATTCTATTGCAATGTAGACACCGTTTTAGAGTACACAATCAAATACAGTTGTATGGCCACTCATAACAATTTCTCAGACGAAGAGAATTTTTTCGAAGTGATCAACTTCAAGAAAAACAATATTGAATGTTAAATTTACAACTCAACTAGGACAAAACAACAACTATGCTAAGTGACTGAAACAATAATGTGGTGTACACATAACACAATCCAACACTAATCCTTAAGATATGAGTGATAACATTAATATGGAATACAAGTAACAAAATACTTAAGAACCCTAACACAAAGAACTTAATCCTAATGCACAAAACTTGTTATCAAACATAAGATTTGACTTTCCTTATATAGCAATGCAATTCAAGGATTTTTCCAATGGAATTTTGATTTAATTTCATCCAAAATATTAGCTGAATCAGTTGGATTTGATTTTCTTCACAAATATCTCCAACAAAAGATATGATTTTATATATTTCAAATTCAAATTTAAATCTCCAATGAAATTTGATTTGATCTTCAACATCAGTCAAACATCTCACACAACCATTGCTAAATAATTTGCAACAAATCTGATTGAGATTCAATCATAGAATTTGCACCTAGCAACATCCATCGTGGCTTTCTGAAAAGAGCTAAATATTGCATTACACACATGTTAGAACATCGAGTTCCACATTTGACTCGTGTTAAGGTAAGGAGGGTTATTGTAGCATCTCAAAGGGACGATTATGCTAGCCTTGGATATTATGTTTTTTAATGTGGATGAAGGACTGCAAAATAAAAGAAGAAAAACCTTCAGGGGGCATTTGAAAACAGGTGGAGTCAAGAGTGGTTGAAAAATCATACTTGTAGGCTTGTTAAATTACCTAGGCAGAAAAGGGTAATTGAGAACAAGTAGATGCAAGTTGCAAGATCAAGATTTAATGGTTGCTTGAATTTGATCAAAGTTATTGATTAAAGTTTCAACTTGGTAGAGAGCATAAATGTTGTTGATTGTTAAATTGATATTAACACGGTTTAAAGTCAAAGTGGAAATTGTTGTAAATGTGCATTAAAACCTTTATTGATGGAGAGAAAGAAAATATATTTTGGAGATTACATTTACCGCGAAAATCAGACGAAAAGTCGAGGAAAAAAAATTTGGACGGTGAATAGTATCATCCGCACGGTGAATAGTGTTATCCGTACGGATGAATAGTGTTGTTCGTATGGTGAATTGTGTTTTCGAGTTTTCGGGTTTTTTTTAATTCGGTCCATGGATCTATGTGATTTTGGGCTTTGTTTGTTAGATATTTGCTATTATAAATATGTATCTCTTATATGCTTAATGTGTTACAATTTTAGAGTTTTCACCAACAAGAGAGACAAATAGTTTAAAGGTATAGCATAGGGTTTCAGTTATCCACAAAGAAAACTTTGAATTACATCTTGGGTTTGAGTGATTCATATATTGAGAGTTGGAGTGATAGGGAAACACTTGGATAGAAAATATGGTTGTTCTTGGGCGCCTTCAGGGTTGCTCTTGAGAACCTGAAGGCAGAGGCTATTTTCTTGTAACTCATCTGTAATCTCTTGTAACAACTTTCCGAGTATAGTGAATTGGAGAGCTGCTCTCTCCCCCATAGTAGATCGTTTGATCGAACTGGGTAAACAGACCTTTGATTTTTTTTTTGATATTATCTGTGTACAGATTATTATTGTTGAAGACCATCTATTTTGGTTGCTATTGTTCTTTGCCTCACAAATTGATATTGAATTTTGTCATAATTCACAACACTTCTCATAGTTACATGAGTTTTAGTCTAAAATTTTGTTAATTAATAAGTTATTATACATAAATTTCATTATATACCTTCAATAAAATTTGTGATTTTCTATAACTTTGTATAGGGGAGCTTATCCATGATGATGGTGAGATGGTTTGTTAGTAATGCATATTAGTTAGAACAAATATATAGGGGGAGCTTATCCATTGTTGATGATGGTGAGGTGGCTTGTTAGTAATGCATAAGCTTAACGTATCCTTTGATCCTTTAACTTAATTTCAAATTTTATTTTAGTCTCTTATTTAATAAACGTTTGTTCTAAGTCTATTAAATGTCATTCCGTTAGTCAAATTGGTCATGCCCATTAAATTTTGTCAAATTCTGTTAATTTATGTATGTGTGGCACTCTAGCCTATAGACGTTAGATGACGTGAAATTATTTTAATTGACATGTTATTTATAATTTATTAAATATTATTTATTTGACAGAGAAATGAGTTTGAAGCAAATACACAATCCTCTTTTTCTACTCATTTCTCCAAATCCCTAGCCGTCAGCTTTTTCTATCTCCTCCTTCTTATACCACAATAACTAACCACTGACCATGAATCTGCCTAGAACAAACTCAAAGGAGAAGACCTTTTATTTCATTTCTTTTTTTGATTTCATCAATTAATCGCTAATAATTTAAAAGTTTTTTATTTGAAATATTTACATGCTAAAATTTGTTGATTTTTATTTGATTTTACAGAGGTTTGCAAGCTTGCTATCAAGGAGCTTACTAGTTGGGTATGTTTCGTTCACTGAAAGTTTCCATCAATCAAGTATATCTACTGAAAAGCTTAATTTTATGTGTCAAAAACTTAATTTTTATCATTCCTTTCTATTTTATTGTTTAGTTATAACTATCATACACTAGTAGTTTTTGTAATGAAGATTTCACGTGCTGATAAATTGTTTTGAATTTCATTCTTTAATTTTGATGGTTTAGATTTCTTCTGATGCTAATAGTAAAAGAATCAAAGCAAAGTTTAAGAAATTAAAAACATAAATTACAATTACAATTTACAAATTATATTAGGCATAATTGATAATGCAACCAATAATTAAAGATCTAAGTACTACTTGATTCTTAGGCATAATTGTATATAATTTATTTACACATGTATTGTATAATTCTTGTAATTAATTTACTCGGATGAAGAGAGGAAATACAATAAAGATATGACAACGAGAGGATAACAAAATATATAAAGTATAGAGAAATATCTCTTAATTATCAAAACTAATAGCCCAAGCCAAATTGGTTGTACAAATACCAAGAGCATGGGGAAGAAGAAATTATTAATATTTATATCGTTGCTCTTGAGGTGTTTGGTATAAGTTTTTGCTATTTAGTCCTAAAATTCATATTGTCTTATTTGTTCTCTTGATCATGATGTTGGATTCATATTTGGTAAAGACTAACAAATATCTTTATTGATAAATTTGTTTGTCTAGTTTAATATGTGTTTTTAAATTAAATTATATATTGGCAATTTCCCATGTTACATCTTTATATCAACATTGCATGTGAGACCTATTTTGTTTCTTAAATATTTAGCTCTTTCTGACCTTTCTTACAAATTAACTGGGTGAGGCTAAAAATGCCCAATTAATCGGAAGTAAATACCAACAATTCAACTTTTATCATAATAAAAAGAAGATTAAAGTTGCAAAAGAGATTGTGCACATTATATCAAATGGAGCAAACGAAGATGAATTTGGAGTCTGAAATAGATTGAGTTGGTTAATTAACATTCTAATTTAGTTTAAAAGTTGTATTTAAGGAGTGTTTAGTTGTTTTTAGAATTGAAAAAATAGCAACAACAAAAATTGGTTTTGAATATAAGGATCAATTTCAAAAAAATTAAATGTTGTATTATTGAGATAACAATTTCAATTAAGTTTAATGTTAAAGATTACTCGTTGTGAGGTTGTTTATATTCTTTTTGGATCATTAATATGAAAGAATTGAATTTTGTTTTAGCTACACTTTAAAAAGCAAGATGTTGCTTACATTTTGGACCTCTATTCAAAATTTATGATTGCGAGGATTGGAACTGGAACAGGATCGTGCGATTTGCAGTTACATTTGATGAATATCTGAGATAAGATTTTATTAATATAAAAAAGTTTCAATTTGGTATTTTAATTATATATAAAATTTTAATTTAGTCTCTTTATTAAATTGCTGACTCAATTGTCATGCTGTCATATCACATATGCACACCTTAAAATTATGTTTGGATATTATAAAATGAATGGAGCGGAATAGAATAAAACAGAGTGGAGTAGAACAAAGATGTCATTCTATTGTTTGGATATTTCATGATAGAATATAGAGATTTTGTCCTTCAACCCAAATGAAATGCATTTTATCTGATTCCACTTCATTCTATTTTTTTTAATCAATCCAAACAATAGAATTTAAGGTTATAACATTCTATTCCATCAATTTAAACATGCCATAATATTTTTTTTCACAAACTTAATTAATATAATAATTTTAAGAGACTAAGATATAAATTTTATTAAATAAATAATTAAAATAAAAATTGAAATTAAGTTATAGAACTTCGGCGGACTTTAAGCATAATGTATATGTTGTATAACAAATTTATTTGAATAAAAAATAGAGTTTTAATTGAATAATGAATAATAAAAATGAAATAAAATATAAAATGTTAGTCTGTGCTAGGTATAATAGGGATGCGAGAATTACAGCATCGACATGCATATAGCAGTAGCACATGATGAATGAGGGATTGAGCGAGAGAATCATGGAAAAAGGGAAAGAGAAATTGGATTCGGAGATGGTGAGTCGGAAGGAAAAGCGAAAGGCATTGAAGAAAATAAAGAGAAAGGAGAGAAGGAAGGAGATTGCGGAGATGGAACGGTTGGAGGAAGAGGCTCGTCTCAACGATCCCGAACAACAGAGGAAGAGGATGCTGTTGGAGCAGCAAGAGGCCGAGAGAATCGAAAGGGATAGGATCGCATTCGAAGAAAGGGAGAAGGCTTGGATCATTAAACAGCAAGAAGCTCAAATTGAACTTCAACTTTTTCAGCAACAACAATCTCAACAACAACAAGACGATGACACTGATAATAACCACGACGTCGTAGAGGAAGCAGCAGAAGAAGATGAAGACGGTCCTCCGGAGATTATTTGGCTAGGGAATGAAATAATCATCAAGAAGAAAAAGCCCAATCTCCTCCTCCTCAACCACCGGGTATGTTATGTAATTCTCTATTTGTTTTTATAATTTCATTGTTTAATTCATCGCTCTATTCAATCAATTCTTGTTATTATAAATAGGAGCATGATCATGATGCCGCTGGTACTGATAATAATAGACCTACATCAAATCCCTTTCCACCGGAATCTCCCTCTCAAGCTGGCTCCAATTCAGCACTTTCCGAGAATGTTGCTCAACAAATACCTAATTTCGGAACTGAACTGGTAATTTCATTCAATCATTCTTCTTCTGCCTTTTGGTTTATTATTATTGACAACCACTTTTTGTAGAAAACAATAGGAAGGAACTATGTAGCACCGACACCGCGTGTTTGTGTTTGTGTCTCTATCGGACACCTGCACCGAAACTTGTGATTACTTTTAGTTTATTCATTTTTTAAAAATTATTAGCGGTGTTGCCGTGTCAGTGTCGGGGTCATTTTTCGGTTTCGGCGTGTCTGTGCTTCATAGGGAAGGAATTATAGCTACCTCACTCACTCGCTATGAAGCACTGTTATTACTGAATACCGGACACTGACACCTGGAAACGAGTAATAATTTGAAAATAGTGAATTAATTGAATGTAATAACACGCGTCGGTATCGGATGCATCTTCGTTCAGAGGGTGTTGGTGCTGCATAGCTCACTTACTCACTTTCCTTTTTTGGTTGTGGCAGGATAAAGCTCACTGTCCTTTTCATCTTAAAACCGGAGTGTGTCGATTTGGTGATCGTTGTAGCAGGGTCCATTTCTACCCCGATAAGTCCTGCACCTTTGTCATCAAAAATATGTATAATGGTCCTGGCCTTGCTTGGGAACAAGATGAAGGCCTTGAGGTCTGTTCATTCATGAGTATCCTAATCCTATTCCTTCTATATCTATCATTACCCACTTTTATGATAATTGATTAATTACATCTGCTTACTCTATATCAAATCTTTCGCTTCGACATCTAACATTTCTCATTTTAATTATTGCAAACTTGGTACCTTATGGTTTCTTTTTCCTTAATTGCTGATATCTTCCTGCAGTTGCTTCCTCTCATATTTGTTCTTGTAAAATGGAGAGGGACTCTATTATATTCACTCCTTCAACTTATAGATATTTCTTCTGGTCTTATGACTTTATAATTATCGAAGATTGGGAGGCTCCTGATTTTGGCTTTGCTTACTTCAACTTAAACATATTAGCTGTTGTATCCTAATTTGCCGAGCTTGGAATTGAGATGTCAAATATTATTCTCCCCTCTTTCCTTGTTTTTATTTCAATGTCTGACTTCTTTTTTAGCTCTACCATTGTCAACATGCATTTCTAACATTTTATCCATCGTTTTCATGTGGGATTCACAATAATATTGTGTCAACACAACATTTTAAAGCAGATTATTCATTATATTGTACACTCAATGTCATTTTAAAAGAACAAAATTATTTCTTTACAAAAATTGCATGTTGTTCCTTGACCATAAGTAGTTATCAGGCAATATCCCATTTATGGCTTAAGGAGCTATGAGGCAGACTAATGTCATGACATTCGAAGGGTTTGAGATTGCGGCAGCAAAACCTAAAAAACGTTGATAGAGTTAGTGTTTCTCAAAATTTGTTGCCATTGTGAATTTTTTAGTTTTATGTGGAAAGAGGGAGTCATTTATTTTACCATGACTTTGCCAATATTTGCATGCATTATTTTAGTTGAAAAAATATTCTCAAGTCTTTATTACAAAGCATGCCGTGCATTATGTTTTCATTTTTTGTTGGTTCTTGAATTATTGTATGGATGCATCCTATACTCTCATTTAGCATAAGTAAATCTCCTGTTACATTTCATTCCAGATGAGACTTTTTGAGGGTTAATATATAATATTAGTTTTCATGAAATGATAGTAGTATTTTCAATACAAATTAAATATAATAAGGAAAAAATCACAAATTTCAACACTAAATAACATTTTTTGTTGAAGTTATTATTTTAAAAGCATAACACACAAGTCAATGTTAAAATGAACTATCAATGCTTATCATTCCTTAAGTAGTTGCAAGGCAGGTTGGCAAAGCCTTAACTGTGGCTTGGTGCATTGGGCCCTCTATATAATTTGTCTGATTGTTTTTAGTAAGTAGATTAAGCCTACAATATTTCATACAATTTGAAGTCTGGTTATACTAAACTAAAGAGGCATGCGGTGTAGGATGCACAAGTAATTTCAACCTTTGGATTTATTTAGAACAACAATTTGGTATGCATGATCATATAGATCATATCAAACGATTCAATGGTTAGATTTGTTACATGTTCACATACAAAATGTTTGTAAATGGTGCAAGTGTCAAAGATTTACCCTTGGCAAGGGGGATCCCCTTTTATACACCCACACCCACATTTATGCTATGGTTGCACTATCACGTTGTTCATGTTATATTATATTTAAATACCTAAGATCTCATTTTCAAATAAATAAATAAATACATAAGTTCTTGTTTGACTTGTTAACCCCCCCGTTTCAGTATACAGATGAGGAGATTCAACGTTGTTTTGAAGAGTTTTATGAGGATGTTCATACAGAGTTCCTGAAGTTTGGAGAAATTGTGAACTTCAAGGTTCCTTTTTACCACAATATATTTATGTATATACATTTACGTACTTCTCAAATAGTTTGGGCTTTAGTTTAGGCTAACTTAGTTTTCAGTATATGTGAATAGAATTTTTTATGTTCTACATGAAACATTGCAAGCGTTAATAAATGATGATGATTTATATTTATATCTTGCTATATAGAGTGGGATACGAACAAATAAATTGGAGAACTTACGCAGGCATTTCTATATAAATGTTTCATCTTGTTCTTGTACTCCTTTCTTATTATACACATAAAACCAACATTTTTTGCAAAATAAAATAAATTCCAAGGACTTTTAGAAGTGAGTAGTGATCCAAAGAGGAGATGACACTTTTTCCTTTTTGTGTAGCAAATAGAAGATTGACGTCCCTTTCTCTGATTTCGCTCACCTCCCACTTACAGTTACTTGCATCTCATGGTACTAAACCTATTATCTGTATATCCTTCTCAGGTGTGTAGAAATGGTTCATTTCACTTGCGAGGAAATGTCTACGTACAGTACAAGTTGTTGGATTCTGCTCTGCTTGCTTATAACTCAATTAATGGTCGCTATTTTGCTGGGAAACAGGTATTGCGTTCCTGTCTTGTTTGTTCCAGATGAATATCTTGAATGTTGCTGGTATGATTGGATGACTTTTATGAAAGCATAGTTGCCAATTTCTTGCTGTAGTGGAGGGGCACTATGGAGTGGCCTTTGGTTGCTCCAAGTTTCCATAGGCAGTGACATGGTTTTTCCAATAGCGGCAGTTACAGTCAAATAGTGTTGCAGAAAAAATGGACAGCGAAGCTGCTATCTTTCACATGGGCAAAAATGCCTATTTACTATGTTTTGTTTCTGTCTGAGAAAAAAAAGGGAATTCCAATCACTGCAAACCCTTGCCTGTTTCATTTCCACCACTACAATGCAAACCCTTGCATGTTTCATTTCCGCCAGTGCTTGCCTGCATCTTTTCTTGCCAACTCTGGTGGTTTTCTACAATCCCCTGCTATCCAATTTCATGTATCACTATCTCGCAGCATTGTTTAGTCTCTGTTCTTTTCTTACAATCCACTGCTCAGTTTGTTTTTTTTGGGAATTTGTTGTTCTGTATTGTGATCTAGGATTGATCACGATGTTTGAGAGCTCTAAGTCTGAAAGTGATTCATGTATCTTTAGAAATTTGCTTGAGACTTCATCTCTCCTGTGTTCAATCATGACTAATTTCCTGATTTTGTATTTATGTCCTATAACTTTATATCTAAGGAAAGCCATAAGAAAAATTTGATTTTTAGTTGGAAGATTGAAGTATTTTTAGGTTTAATGTGCAGAATACTTGAAACTTCCTGACATTGTTCACTATCTATGATAGTTCAAAGTGTGAAAGTGATTCACATGTCTTTAGAATTATGCTTGAGGTTTCATCTCTATTATGTTCCATCACGACTAATTTCCTGATTTTGTATATATGTCCTTTAACTAATTTTATATCTAAGTAAAGCCATAAGAAATATTTGATTTCTAAGTTGGTAGATAGAAATATTTTCAGGTTTATTGTACATAATACTTGAAACTTCCTGACATTGTTCAAATTTTTACGTGGCTTTGGCTTATGGCAGGTCAGATGTAAATTTGTTAATTTAACAAGATGGAAGGTTGCTATTTGTGGGGAGTATAAGAAATCACGTTATGAGGTATAGAATAATATAATGACTATCTTTTATTTTATCTTTTGGATCAAGCCATGGGCTCCCAGTCATTTGTGCAAATCATATGACTTTTGCTCTTGGTGAGTTTCAAGTTAAGCTTTATAACACATTAAATGTTGCAAATTGTTTTTTGCCCACAAATCATGCCCATAGATTAATGATATTCTTTTCTTGTGCATCTTAACAGACCTGTTCTCGTGGAACAGCTTGCAATTTTATCCACTGTTTCCGCAATCCAGGTGGAGACTATGAATGGGCAGATTCTGACAGACCACCCCCAAAATTTTGGGTTAACGAGATGGTTGCTTTATTTGGTCATTCTGATGATTATGAGATCTCGAGGATTCATGATAAATCTAGTGCACTGAAGCACTCCAGCGATGTCTCAGTAACAGATTATGACAGGTATGCTTTCAATTGGTTATTGGAATTGAGAACATATGTTAACCATTAAAGATAAAAAGCTCAAGAGCAAACATGATTTAACTTCTATCAAGTGTAGTAGTATTTTTAACCATTCAAGGATCAAGGTGAAGAACTTGCGGGCAAAATCTTGTGATGTGACCGCGTTATGCAGCTATAATTTTGACAAAACCCTTAAAGTCCTTGCATGGTCTACAGTTTCCATGAAGGAAATAAAACTCAAATTTAAAACCACCTAAAGATTTCAACCAAATAATAAATTAGAAATCTTCTCTATACAATTTTGCTTTTTCACTTGCTGCATTAAGGCTGTGTTTGAGAGTTGAGTTTTGGCAGGAACGGGAGGAGAAGACTTTTCTTTTTCCATTTCTAAATTAAAAATAAAAATTATAGAACTTTTATAAAATTCATTAAAAGAGTTATTGAAATATTATATGATCATTTATTGTGTCATTCATTCAATTATTTAATCTGAAATATATGTCAACTTATAGACATAGTCCTCCAATCCATTTCCCTCCAAAACTCTTTAAAATCCAACTCCCAAACATACCGTAAGGGAAAAAACTAGTTTTACTGGAAATAAAATTTGTGTATGCAGAGAAAATATAACTTTGAATAGTTTTTTCAGATTGTAATTTAAGTTATTCAAATGTTTCTCTGTTTAAGTTGTCATAGCTGTTTGATGATGTGTTTTTACCAAATTTTTGTTTAATGAAGTTAGTCTTCTGTAATTACATATCTAATTAGTACCATAATCTTTGTTTAGGTATCACTCAAGAAGACCTAAATCTAGAGAGATAAATCAGTCTAATGGTGGGCGTTCTGATAGAAGAAAACACGAAGATGAAAGAAAACAAATAACTCATGTCGAGGAGTGGAATACCCATTTTAAAGACAACCATAAAAGGAAGCGCAGGAACAGAACTCCTGATATTGATTCTGACATGGAATGGTTAGAAGAGGTAGATAGGGAAAAGTACCATGAACACAGAAGGAAAAGCTCATTTAATTTGAACAAGGATGACAGTAGCAGAAGGCATGAAGAGTATTCTGAGGTGGATAGAGCTACTGTAAACAGGGACCATGAAAAACGGCATGATAGAAAAGGAAGGAGCTCACGAATGTCGGATTGGGATAGTAGGGACTGTATTTATGAGTCGGGATCTGATGAGGATAGTGATAGAAGAAGGCATCGTAGTAGCCAAAGGAAAGGATCAAGACATCGAAGCAGGGACAGCAATAATGTAACTGATGAACCTGACAAAAATAGAGGCCATGAAGACTATTTTGATGTGGATTGGGATACTATGACTAGGGACAATGAAAAGAAGTATGGCGGCAAAGGAATGAACTCGCAAAAGCAAAACAAGGATAGTAGGCGGCATCAGGTTTATGAGGCTGGATCAGATGAGGATAGACATAGAAAAAGGCACCGCAGTAGACAAAAGAAGGAATCTAGAGACATAAGCATGGACAACAGCTGCGTAATTGATGAATCTGACAGATATAGGAGAGATGGAAACACAACGTGATTAATCTAGGAGAAAAGCTTGAGACCCAAAAGATCCAGTCTTCAGGACTAGGGTGAAAACTATGAGAATGAAAATGACAAGCTTGATGGAGGCTTGTCTCAAAGAGAGTGATTGACTTGCACGTCACACCAAAAAGAAGATATCAAAACACCATAAGGAATTGGATTCAACCAATGGAGACATTAAGAATGTAACTTACAAGAACAGTGGATGATGGGTTGTCTAGTAGTAAGGGTGTCATTGTAACTTTAAGGGATAGAATTTAAACTTTATTGCTCTTTTTTATAAAACGGTAATTACTGGTGTTATAATTGATAGTAATAGTTTTATGTTAATGTTAATATTGAGACGATTTGGTTATGCAGTGAAGGAGGCAATTATTTTTTTGATTGACAACTGAGAAAGGACAATTTTACATTGGAAAATAATCGTAGATTAAAGAATTTGGTGTCAATTACATTGGAAAATAGTTGTAGATGGAAGAATTTTGTGTGAACTGAAGTTGGACTCGATGTTTCCTAATTGTTTCTAAAAAAAATTAAAGTACTTTTAAAGTATTATAAAGTTGAAAGGTTCATTGAGTTTGTGTGCTTGTTAAGGAATTGACTTGCCATATGTTTCTTTTTGGTAAGTATTATGAAATTGAAAGGTTCCCTGAGTTCTGCATTGAATGACAATATTCAGCGACTGATTTGACAAACAATTTATTTAGGACGAGTGTTTATTAAAATAAACACTTAATTAAGCCTGCATAAGGTAATCCTATAACAATAGATAAAATGAAATTATATTTTGTGGTGAATTGTATTGTTTTTATATATACAATAGCTTGCTTTAATGATTTATTTTAGAGACTTCTTAAAAATAAGTTTAAATTTTTTTTTATCTATAACAATATAAAGGCAATAAGTATTTTTGGTGTAACTTTTTTATTTCCAATTTTATCCCTAATAAATTGATTTTATTACATTCTTTTATTAGTTAGTTATTATTCTTTATCTTTCATAACTTTTATTGCGGTTTCTAAACCAATCCATCTTCTCTCTCCATTTTATATTCTTTCCATTAGATATATTGAGAGAGAGAGAGAGAGAAAATGTTGGAGAAGTAAATTAATTGAGAGAGAAAAAAAATGTTGGAGAAGTAAATTAAAGATATGGAAGAAAGAAAATAAAGATGAAAATGAAAGAGAAAGATAATAATGATAACTGCTATCTTTTCTGTAGTATTTCTCTAAATTAACTTTAATTTTTCTGTTATGTTCTTTTGGCAACTCTTATTAAGTTTTTGTTTTTAATTAGTTTGAAGACAATGAAGTAGAAAAAAGTTGTTGTTAATATAAACATAGAGATTTTTTTTTATGGAGAAGAGGTTATTTTTCCAATTTTCATACTATCTTTTTTTTAATTTTAATATTCTCACTAACTTTTAAAGTTTAACTATTTTGATCGATTCCTTTACCTATTTTTAATTTTATTCATTTCATTCTATTGTTTGATTAATAGATGAATATTATTGAAAATTATTTAGTATCATCGGTAATGCATAAGAAAGAAAGAAGTCAAATTTCTTTGTGTTCTTATTATTTTTAATGTGTAATTAAGTCTTAATGATAAATTAATATTTTTGGTGTAGTTTCTTTGAGTATCAACAACATAATGTTGTTTTTTTAATTCACGTATCATTCCTTTTGTTTTAAGTATTCTACCTTTTATTTCTTTATCACATATTACCTGCATTTTTATCTTCAATATTTTTATTTTTTCAATTTTCTTCTTCAAAATTTAAAGATTCTTAAATATTTGAGAATACCTAATAACTTTAATTTTCTTACACATACTTTCTACATCACTATTTTTATATATTTAATAATGATTCTTAAATTTCTTTTTAGTTTTTAATGGACAAATCAAGCAAGATAGAAGAATGTGCAAGACAATGGAAAGAACACAGGGGCATAATCTTTCAAAATGTAATAATTATTTTTATAGGTTTGATTAGTTATTAAAAGTTATTCATTTTAATTATATTACTTTGTAGTTTTTTGTATTTTTGAACCAACTCTATGTAAAATTATTATTAAAGTTGTTAATTATTATATAAATTCTATTTATTATATCACAATTCTAATAAATTTATTAATATTTGCGAACACTCCACCGAAGTAGATACGTAATACTGAAAAATGTCTTATGTATTTGGTTTTGCAATGTTGATTGATTATCTCTCTTCTTTTTTCTCTTAAATTCTTTGTTTAAAACTAAAGAAAAAACTCATCTCTCTCATTTTTATTTTTATTTTTTTTAATATTTATGTTATGTTTTTAAAGAAAATTAAAGAAACTATTAATTTCAAAAGAGACAGAATGCTACATATATGCGGCAAAATTTGAAGGGATTTCAAATGATCTTTTTTACACAAATATATATTTTCCATGCAACTATTGAAATGAGTGTACAGAAGATACTTCTATGGAATTGTACATATATTCTAATTTATTATCATTTCTTAAATTTTGTTTATTATATATTTTTCTCTTTACACGTTGTCTATTTTACTTAGTTTTTGAAGAATAATTTATATGTTTTTTTGTCTAACAAGAACATGAAACTTTTAATCTCTCAAAATTTTGTTTATTTCACTTTATGTGAGATTAATTTATTTGTGGGTTTTATTTGTATTTATCTCCCTTATTTATGATTTCTTTTTATTCTCATAAAAAAATTTCTTTTTAATAATATTTATTATGGTTTATCTAAACTCTACTTAATATATTCTATAACTATTATTTATTCTATAACTATTATCTATTCTATAACTATAGATAAAGATAAAGAAGATAGATGATTTTGGACAAACCTATTTCATTCTCATTTTATCCTTTAAGTTGTACGCAATTTATTTAATTTTTAAAAATAAAGTGCTAACAAAATGATACGGTTTTTTTATAAGATGAGCATAACTATCAAAGTTGGTTTTTTTATAAGATGAGCATAACTATCAAAGTTGGTTTTTTTAATGGGAAAAAAACCAATTTTGATAGTTATGCAACTCTTACAAAAATGATAGAAGTGCAAAACACACTTATAAATGAATAGAAAATGGAAATTCATTCACTCAGTGGCAACATAAAAAAAAATACATCATCATACTCCACTATTTATGGTTTGTGAAAGATAAATAGAGAAAAAAAATTCTTCATCTTCATCTCTTATTTGATCACCAGTCTCTAATTCTTTCTCTAATTCTTTATCATACTTCATTGTTAATTGATATGAAGTTTCTTTTCCTTTACGATGTTATGATTATTTCTTTAAGAGATAATTTTCCTTTATTTTAGAATCTATTTTGTTGATTTTGCATTTGGTTGTTGCAACTAAATATCAAATTATATTGATTTGGTTATAGAATATTATTAAAAACAATGAAACATTATTTTTAAGTGTCTTTCTTTTTAAACCCATTGGTCTTAAAGATAAGAAATATATGAATTGTTTATTTATGAATTGATTCATCTGTATTTAATACAATACTAATAATATAATAGAAAACGAACAATAAATATTAAAGATGAGGCACACCTCCAAGATAATGCAGGGAAATGAGAATCAAATGTTAAAACATTTCTTAAAGTATTGCTTCAATAAATGAAAGAGTTTTGTTGCAACAATTTTTGGAAGCATTTCATTGACCATATACTTAATAAAAAATTAAATTAATAAACACACACACACACACACACACATATATATATATATATATATATATATATATATATATATATATATATATATATATATATATATATATATATATATATATATATATATATATATATATATATATATATATATATATATATATGATACATAATTTAAATTAAAACCAAAATCAAATAAAATATATATTAATGAATTATTTCATTTGTTTTGCATTGAAACGAGAGATATTTCTGATTTTGATTCCATGGTTGACCTTCCTATTAAGCAATAATGTAACTTAATATCCGTATTAATGTTTCTGTTTAGTTGCTTAATAAATTGTGAGAAAGATTTTTGTTCTTCTTCTATCTAAATCTTCTTATGGTTTTGACTAATCTATAGCAATATATAAATACAAAACTTAATGTTTCATCATATAAATAATTTATATTAAAATCAATATAAATAGTTTATAGTAAAATTAAATTTATAAAAAAATATACTGTTAATATTTTTGCGCGTTAGCGCAATAAAGAAAAGCGGACAAACGGGCACGGACGTGCCCGTTTGGACGCTAGTAAAAAAATAAAATAAGTAATGTAAATAGTTTATTTTACTATTATTATTTGGGCATTGCTTCTTCCACCATAAGTGGTGAGGAAGTATCATAAAGAAATTCAAAAATGCATTTATAAATTTGGAATTGCATTTTTGGAGCACTCATTTCACACTAGATATATGCGTAAATGAGCTACACCCCACTTTTTGTTTGAAAATAGTTCGAAGATGCACTTTCGTACTTACCATACACGTATCTCATGCATTCTTAACAAAAACACCCTCATTTTGACATAAATTGATTTGGAGGGGCATCTCCATAGCAGATTACATATATACACTTTCTATTCATCCTAGACAGTAATGTTTTACTTTTTTTTTTAAAATACACCGATGTAATTGACAATGTATTATAACTATACTATCATAATAATTTTTTTATAAATTAAACCATACACTTATCAAATAAGATGAAAATGTCATATATAAATGAAATAATCCTGAATCCAAAATAAAGTCAAAATAAATTACAAATGATAATATTATCACTAATACAAATACTATACTATTGCATATGTCAGACCCCCTGTTCCTTCGATGCCACCTATACTACAATGACGTTCGTGCCTTAATAAGAATGACATCTACAACGTCCCTCCCAAGAGAACCCTTCTGAAAGACTCCACTGTCTATACACACTCACACAATATTCATAATATGATATGCAGACAACACATCAAC